TTTTTTTTTTTTTTTTTTTTTTTTTTTTTATTTCAGCTTCATATAACACTGAAAAAAAAAGCAATATGTAGCACTGAAACACGAAAAATATACAGGAGGAGGAAGTATTTTCTTCAAAACTGGAGGTCTTTTCCTAAAAATTCATTCCACGATCATGGTTAAGCCGAGTATTAAAGCCATATATCTCTTTGATGTAATCGACACGCCTAGCAAACTATGAAATCAGACCACGTTTCACTTTCTATCAAAGACCCTCGAAATCAGAATTCGAAACGATTTAACGAAACACCAGTGATTCTCTTTACCGAAGACTGATTAAGGGGCAAGTTTACGCATCGGTATTACTTCGTGTAAGGTACAGAGGATTCAATAGCTGGAATGCAATGAATGATCGGAAAAGCCGAACAGAATGTACCAGCAACTGATCGACTTATCATCGAACTACTATAAAAAGATTTGCTTTTTTATGCGTTTTTGCATCTACGCAATGCAAAAAACACACACTAACGAGGGGTTGTCTGTGTGCGCGCTGTGCATGTGCACCGATTTTTCATCTCAAGACCTACAAAAGTTAAAGGGCTCAAAATTCGGGAACTTAATCTACATGCATGTACAGGCCCATCCCCAAAATAGGCGCTCTTATTCGCATGGTACCCACGCGTGCGGGCCAGCCAAAGTTTATTTCGGATAAGTTGCTAACTCGGGAATCTGAAAAGCGAGAAGACTGGAATTTTAAAGGAGTGTTTTCAGACAGCCCTGATGGTCAGTCTCAATTCTCTTAGCTAGAAGCATTTGCCGGAAAAACCGGTGCCAGTAGTGGCAAAACTGCGGGGAACTATGCAAAAAACGCATCTTCGCATTGGCAGCCGGTGCACTGGCCATTTATTCTCCTAGCATCAGTTCGTAGATAAGCACAGCAAAGTGAATCAGTTCTTTCGTGCAATTCCATCGATCAATTTTCTAGCAAATTCTGACTTAAGCACTGGAAACTTTGGCGCCTCTGCGTTTTCCTTGTTCGGATCCTGAAAAAAATCGGGATGCATATGCATGTGAGCTAACATAGCAGGTGTGAAAGCAGCTAATACAAACACACCAGTTCATATGCACTCCCTTGCCATGAACGGGGCCTTTTTTTGCAAAAGTATGGATCAAGAGGTAACCATTTTCATTTTTTGATCTTTCGAGTTATGTTGTGTAATTAAAAAAAAAAAAAAACTGTGTAATTTATCAAAAATTTATTAAAAATAAAAAGTGTAATTTAATAAAAATAAAACTTTTGTCAGCCCACGTACACCACGTCAAGAGGCTGAAGTGTGCAGCCTTCGGCATGAAACCATATATCCCGTGATCATTGTGTATATCTATCCCAACTGTGCATATGATGCCTCTTCATTTTCCTCAAATTTAGCCAGTTTTTCGCAGATATATGGGTTCGGATGAAAAAGTTTTGAACGAGCAGTTTTACACATGCACAGTGGAAACAGTTGCGTTTCTCCAGTTGCATAAACTCCTTTTTATGCATTTTGTGCAGTGTAACAGCAGAACAAAACGCATATTGTCGCGGGGTTGTCCGTGTGTGTCCGCAATGTTCCCCACCCACCTGTGATCTCGCAAAGTTAAATTCAGCCTCCCCGTGCCTGCGGATAACACGCACGGCCCCGTAAAAGTTTTGGCGGGGAAAATTATTATCTCGGAAACCGCGGAATCTAGGACACTAAAATTTTATGGGTATGTCCCTTCTGCCCACGTGCGATCTAGAAAATTTTAATTCAGCCTTTCTGTACGTGCGGGTAACATGTACACGATTCGGTGAAACTTTTGGCTGGTAAATCATTATCTCGGGGATCAAGGAATCTAGGAAGCTGAAATTTTATGAGTATGTCCTTTGCCAGCGTTCGACCCAGAAAATTTAAATTCAGCCTTCTCGTGCTCGTGGGTAAGATATATGGCCCGGTGAAAATCTTGGTGGGCAAATTATTATCTCGAAAACCGCGGAATATAGGGAGCTGAAATTTTAGGGGACTGTCCCCTGACCACGTGCAGCTCCTCAAATTTAAATTCAGAGCAGTGAAAATCATTAGCAGGCAATCATTCGGTGAACGGAGTTACACAAAACACATGATCGCACCAACTGTCCTGGTGCGCACCGCTATTCATTAAACTATTTTTCCCTAGGCCTTAACTGCCTTCTGCTTCGTCATTCTTGCCTTATATATAAATTTTAAACAGTCCTCTTCAAAAAAAAAAATGGTTAAAAACAATTACTGCTTTTTCGTTAGTCCATCACAAACATTCTCGCTGGAAGTACAATAAACGCATGTACAAAATAAAGTGATACCGCGCTTATAAGATGGAGCTATTATTTTTAAGTATCCTGCATTCCCCTCCCCCTCCCCGCCCCCCCTCCCCTCCTCCCCCAAAAAAAGATGGAAACTGGGGATGGGGGAGGGGTGGGAGAGTGACCAAAATTCTAAGTTCTATTCACTGGTCAGTTTTTTTCAACAAAAAATTGTGGACTTACGTTATCCGAGGCAACTTTTTGTGCGGGCAGTGGCGACATATACACTGTATCGTCAAATATTAGTTTCGGCGGTGGTTTTATGAATACGACAGTGTCTTCGTCGCGATCCAGCGTAAACGAACCAGTCAATGAGGTCGGTGGCATGGGCCCTTTTTTTATAAAGAATTTCGCTGCTTTCCTCTCTGTAAAAGCATTCAGTTAGAAATGAACAAAACGAAATTTGCACACACATACACACACACACACACACACACACACACGAAGCGCAACTTAATATATGCCACAATCTTTCATTTTTCCGGAACCAGGCGTTACCAATAAGTAGTCTGTTAACTTACTTTATCGTGACTAGCCTACCATCTCTGTCATTCCTCTTGGCTATGCCATTTTACTAACTTATCCCCTTTCCCCAATCTTTTCCACTAACATTCTTCTGTCCTTCTTCAATGCTCAGCAAAACTCTTTTATTAGCTTTCAGATTACGATATATTCGATCTTTTGTTGGGTTTCACAGATGCCAAAGACGAAATTGCATGATAATCCACCAATTTTCTAGAATATGTTTTATCACTTCACTCCTGGGTAACGGGCATAAGCCGGTAAGAGAGAGAGGAGGGGAGGGGTTTTTCACCCCTCAGCGGCGTAGGCCGCAGTGTTAAAA